AGAGAGGGTTAAACCAGGCTGCTCCTTGGAGGCAAGGATTCTGGGGTTTCGTCTGACATACTTTGGACATGTTGTAAGGAGAGACAGGTCTTTGGAGAGGGACATCATGCTAGGCAGAGTGGAGGGACAGTGCAAACGGGGAAGACCCTCTATGAGGTGGATTGATTCAGTGACTGGGGTAATCGGGATGGATGTGTCATAGGCAATGAGATTGGCACAGGATAGAGCAGGGTTTAGGGCTGTTGTACACAGGGTCGCTATGAGTCACAAGCAACTCGACGGCACATAACAACAACAACGGCCAACTTTTAGCAAGGCAGGGCCTGATACTACACTGTTGTTGCTTATCGTTGAGTCAGAACACTCGTAGCTGACCCTCCAGCAGGTTTCCAGAGGCTAGAAACTGCACAGGAGGGGACTGTTCATCTTTCTTCTGCAGAGCAGCTGGTGGCTTCATGAGGATTGGCAGTATAATTCCTTACCCCTAAGCCATCAGAGCTCCTATTATAGAACTAGAGTAGTTCTGAAATAAATGCCAACAAATTTCTCAAAAAATAGGTTTCTAAAAGTTTTTAAAACCTTGAGCTTATTAGTTACAAAATTTACAAATGTTCCTATCCTTTGAATTAGCAATTCCAATTCTACAGATTTACTCATCATAGACAGATACATCTTAGCCTGTTTATGGTAGAAAAATGTGCAATAACATAGAAGTTCACCAATAAGGCACGGGGTAAGTAATATTTCTGTGTGGTAGAATACTCTACAGCTGACAAAAAAAGAATGAAGACTTATAAGATATGCCACTAAAAGAGAAAGCAAAGTACAAAACAGGATATATGGTATGCTACTATTTGCATAGTAAATGAGAAACAGTGAATTATCTATGCAGCTAAGTCATTCTATAAAAAGTTTATAAAATTCATTAAAGAAAAGATTGGAAGAACTCTAGAAGTCCTAATTCACAACATAAAACAGTCTTCAAAGCATCTTGAAAAATCTACAACCAGGAGAGGATAAAATAGGTGAATGGGACCTTCTAAGAAACAAATCCCTATGCACATCCAAAAACTTCTCCAACAGGGTAAAAAGTGAAGCCACAGACAGGGAAAAAATATTTGATAATGACAGGTCAGATAAGGGACTTATATCTAGAATTTATAAAATACTTGAGCACCACAACAACATAAAGGTAAATAATCCAATAGAAAAATGGGCACAGGATATGAATAGACACTTCACCAAAGAAGATATTCAAATAATTAACAAGCACATGAAGAAATGTTCAAAATCCCTAGCTCTAAGAGAGATGCAAATCAAAACAAGTATGAGATATCATCTCACCCCAGTAAGACCAGCAAAATTTAACAGAGCAGCAAACTACAAATGCTGGCGAGGTTGTGGAGAAACTGGAACCCTTATTCATTGTTGGTGGGAATATAAAATGTTGCAACCACTATGGAAGGCAGTATGGGGCTTTCTCAAAAAGTTGCAAACAGAAATACTATTTGACCTAACAATTCCACTACTAGGAATATACCCCAAAGAAACTAGAACTGCCACCCAAGCAGATATATGTACATCCATGTTTTTTGCTGCTTTGTTCATAACAGCAAAGAGCTGGAAACAACTTAAATGCCCATCAACGAACGAATGGATAGAGAAGCTGTGGTATATTCACACAATGGAATATTACACTGCATTAAAAAACAACCCATGAAATACAAAAAGGTGACACTGGAGGACATACTGAGTGAAATATCTCTGTCTCAAAAGGACATATACTGCATAGTGCCACTGTTGTAAAACGGGGCTGACATTGAGGTTGGGGGGAGACTGAGAAAAACAGGATAAATTATGTATACTGCATTGAGACAGATGAGGAAGAAAACTATTTAAAAGGGATATATGATTAGGTATTATTGTCCTGACAGGAGTCCAGAATGAATGCTGCATAGTGAAGTGGACTTGAGGGGAGGGATTGTATAACAATGAAAGAATTTTTCTTTTATTTTTCAAATAGAAGAGCGAACTCGGGGGAAGGTTGGGCAGGAAGAAAAGTGCAACAATGAATGAATTGAAATCCAAAGTCTCTGTAAACGTTCATTAAAATTAACAAAAAAAGAAAACGTTTATAACTAGGAAAGGCTTCTATCCTATAAATTATAAATTAAATCTAATCATCAAGTCCCAGAATAAAATAGAAAGATTGACAAATGATCAGATCCTACTCAAAATGTCAAATATATAATATGCTTTGATACATTATCTTCATCTCTCAAAGTTACTGCTGTTGATTCAGAACCCATAGTTGACCCTCCACTGGATTTCCAGGACTATAAATTGCAATGGAGACTGTCTATCTTTCTCCTGAGGAGCCACTAGTAGATTTTGAACAGCCAGAGAGGCGTAGCTTTTGGGTGAGCAGTGCAACTCCCTGTGGACTACTTCATCTGAGCTCCCCAATATCTACAACTAATGGTATTTCTCTATTCTCACTACTTAACGTCCTTTAAAGTTCTTAACAACATTTAAAGCCAGATACTTACTTGCTACCATTAAACATTTTATTCAGGGCATCTCTTGATATAATATGGCCACAGACCAACTTCATAGGTGGGTTATTATCTGTTGTTTGCTGACGAAGAATGGGACAGGCAAATATAGAGTGATACCAGCATTTTTTACCAAGGTCCACTTCAATCTGTTATGAGAGAAAAAAAACCTGAAGTTCTATTTTGGAAAGCTTCCCACATATTACTATGTATTTTATAAAAAGAGCATTTATCTTATTTACTCATCAATATAATTTTTCTTTTCAATATAGTTTTTCTTAGCACTCTCCTAACTCAAAGATGGGTAAGTTAGGGATTCAATGTGTTACTACTCCATGAACCAAAATTATTCACAGCACTGCTGTTCAAACCAAATCCCAATGTCTGAGAGTGAGACTCTAAGTGCTGTCCTAGTCAAATAATTTCCAAAATCAGTCAAGATCTATCTAAGCACAAAGCCTACTGTCGAGTACCAATTTGGCTAAGATGACAAAAACCCCACATACAAACTCATTAAGGCCAACTAAATAAAGTTTATGTCTACATGAGCTTCAGATCAGTGTTTCCTATATAATGCTGCTGACATCAGATGCCACCGAGCAAGCCCTGACTCACACCAATCCCAAAGGCAATAGAAGAAAATCCTGCCCAGCACTTTGCTGTGTGAACTAACAGGCAGATAATGTGCCATCCTCCCATTGAGACCTCACCCAGCCCTGTGCCACCCTCACACCTCTGCTGTGCCGTCCTCCCATTGAGCATCTTCCTCTTGTCCTGCTGACCCTTTTACTTTCCCAAGTATGATATCCTTTTTCATTTCCTGATAACATGCCAAAAGCAAAAAGCATTCTCAAGGCCCACAGAGAAAGAAAGCGATGTATGATAGGGTATTATGGTTATCACAAGAGTCCACAATTAAGGTTGCATAGTGGAATGTACTTGGGGTGGCGGGAGG